GCCTGGGCAACAAGAGTGAAACTCTATCTCGAAAAGAAAATGGAAAAGGGAACACTTATTCCCAATACATTTTATGAAGCTAGCATTACTCTGATACCAAGACAAAGATAGCACATAAAACCTACAGAACATAACTCTCGTGAGCTTGATAAAAAGCATCTATAAAAAAACTCCTTCTATGGTGAAAGACAGAATGCATTTCCCCAACATCAGAAATAAAGCAAGGAGGTCCGCTCTCACCACCATTACTGAACATAGTACTAGAATCTAGACAATACAACACACAACACAAGAAGGTTGAAAATAAAAGGCAGACAGAAAAAGGAAGAAATAAAACTGTTCTTGTTTGTGAATAATATGACTGTCCATGGGGAAAATCCCAAGGAATCTAAAGAATCCCAACTGCTAAAATAAATGAATTTAGCAAAGTCACAGCATACAAGATAAAATAGAAAAATCAACTATTTATATATACTAATAAAGAATTTTGTGAATAATGAAATTAAAAAATAGTATCAGTAACAAATATTCAAAAAATTAAGTAACTAGGTGTAAATCTAACAAAATATATGCAGGAGTTATATGCTGATGACTGCCTAATGACAATAAAAGAAATTAAAGAATTAGCCAGGTACAGTGGCAGGCACCTGTAATCCCAGCTACTTGTGAGGCTGAGGCAGGAGAATCGCTTGAACCTGAGGAAGTGGAGGTTGCAGTGAGCTGAGATTGTGCCATTGTACTCCAGCCTGGGCGACAGAGTAAGACGGTCTCAAAAATAAATAAATAAATAAATAAATAAAAATAAATCAAAGAATACATTAAAAAATGAAGAGAAGTATTATGTAGATGAGTTGGAAGATTCAACATAGTAAAGCTATCAATTCTCCCTAAACTGATAAACAGATTTAATGCGATTCCTCTCAAAATCCCAGAAAAATTCTTTTTTTTTTTTTGAGACAGAGTTTTGCTTTTGTTGCCCAGGCTGGAGTGCAATGACACAATCTTGGCTCACTGCAACCTCTGCCTCCAGGGTTCAAGCGATTCTCCTGCCTCTCAAGTAGCCGGGATTACAGGCATGCACTGCCATGCTCAGCTAGTTTTGTATTTTTAGTAGAGATGGAGTTTCTCCATGTTGGTTAGGCTGGTCTCATACTCCCCACCTCAGGTTACCCACCCACCAGCCTCCCAAAGTGCTGGGATTACAGGTGTGAGCCACAGCATCCCGCCAGATAAGACAATTCTAAAACATATAGAAAGTTCATAGAATTAGAATAGCTAAAAATTTGTGAGGAGAGAAATAAAATGAGAGAAATCAATCTACCTTACTTCAGACTTACACAGCTACAGGAATCAAGACTTGTATGCTAATAGAGAACCCAGAAATAGACCAAAACAGACTCACACAAGTATGCTCAACTGACTTTTGACAAAAGTGCATCAACAATTCAATAAAGGAAAGGGAGCTTATTCAACAAATGGTGCTGGAGCAACTGGACATCCACAGGCCAAAAAGTTGCCCTCAATCTAAATCTGACATCTAACAGAAAAATTAACTCAAAATGGGTCATGACTTAAATGTAAAACAAACTATAAAACTTTTAGAAAAGGGCCGGGCGCGGTGGCTCAAGCCTGTAATCCCAGCACTTTGGGAGGCCGAGGCGGGTGGATCACGAGGTCAAGAAATCGAGACCATCCTGGTCAACACGGTGAAACCCCGTCTCTACTAAAAATACAAAAAATTAGCTGGGCATGGTGGTGCATGCCTGTAATCCCAGCTACTCAGGAGGCTGAGGCAGGAGAATTGCCTGAACCCAGGAGGCGGAGGTTGCGGTGAGCCGAGATCACGCCATTGCACTCCAGCCTGGGTAACGTGAGTGAAACTCCGTCTCAAAAAAACAAAAACAAAAAAAAAAACTTTTAGAAAAAAAATAAGGGAAAATCTTCAGGATCCAAGGTTAGGCAGAGTTCTTGACACCAAAAGCACAATCTATAAGAGTAAAAAACGATCAATTTCAACAAAATTTAAAACTTTTGCTTTGCAAAAGACCCTCTTAGAAGATGAAAAGATAAACTACAGACTGAGAGAAAACAAAACCTGACAACGGACTAGAATCTAGCATATCTAAAAAACTTTAACAGCAACAGAAAAAAAAAAATCTATAAAACCAGAAAACAGGCAACACGTTGGAAGGCTGAGATGGGAGGATTGCTTGAGCCCAGGAGTTTGAGACCAGCCTGGGCAACATGGTCACATCCCTGCCTCTACAAAAATACAAAATTAGCCAGGCGTGGTGGTATGTACCTATTGTCCTAGCTACTTGGGGTGGCTGAGACGGGAGGATGGCTTGAGCCCAGGAGATCGAGGCTGAGGCTGCAGTGAGCCATGCTGGCACCACTGCACTGTAGCCTGGGTGACAACATGAGAAATGCAAGTTAAAATTACCATGTCACTATACACCTATAAGAATGGCTAAATTAAAAATAGGGACAACACCAAATGCCAGTGAGGATATGCAGAAACTGGATTTCTCATACTCTTCTAGTGGGGATGGAAAATAATATGGCCATTCTGGGAAAGTTTGGCAGTTTCATATAAAACTAAGCATGCAACTACCATATGACCCAACAATTGTATTCCTGGGCATCTAGCCCAGAGAACTAAAGACTTACGCTTACATTATGAGTTACTGTACATGAATTTTCATAGCAGCTTTAGTCCCAATAGCCAAAAACTGAAAACAACCTAGATGTCCTTCAAACTGTGGCACAATCATACCATGGAATACTACCTCAGCAAACTAGATACACGCAACAACCTGGATGAATCTCCAGAACTTTGCTGAGTAAAAAAAAAAATCCAATCTAAAAAGGTTACTAACTGGGTGATTCCGTTATATTAAGTCTTGGAATGACAAAATTATAGGAATAAAAAACGAATTACTGATTATCTGGGGTTAGGGAGGAGATGGGGCAGCAAAGAAGTGAGTGTGGTTATAAAAAGGCAATATGGCATCCTCCTGGTTCTGGAAACATCCTTTATCTTCACTGTGCCAATCAATGGCAATATCCTGGCTGTGGTACTGTACTATGGGTTTGCAAGATATTGAGGAAAGCTGGGTAAAGGGTACAGGGTTCTAACTATACTGTATTATTTCTTACAACTGCATATGAATCTACAATTAAGGCAAAATAAAATTTAATTCGAAAATAAGTTAGCCTCAAAGCAAATTAAGTACAATTAAAAAGAAATCTAACATCACCGAAATGTTCTCTTCTGTTCAAGTGTGTTTGGATACGATCTCTATGAATCAGAGTTTATAAAACACACCTTCCTCACCAGCACCCCTCAATTTTCCCTCACTCACATGCACACAAACACAGCAACTGAGACAAGGCGGTCCAGAGAGAAAAACTGAGATTTCTTTAAATACACGATAGAATAAAGAGAGGGAAAAAAATCCTTGTCCAGGCTCTATAAAACAAACCAACGGTGTCACTGTGGACAGATCCGCTACTCTCTCAGCCTACAATCTCAACTGTTTCTACAATTTAACCTTCTCCATCAGGAGGCTGCTTAGTGTAGTAGTTCACAAACTTTTTGGTCTCCAGTCTCTAAAGAGCTTTTGTTTACATAGATTACAACCAATGATGTTTATAATATTAGAAATTTAAAGGGAGAATTTGTTTTTAAGAATACACAAAGACATACTCCATTGGCCCTCCAAACGGTGGTGAGATCATTCCACATCATGTAGCCTTTGGAAAACTCGATGTACACGACCTCGGTACTGTTATGAAAATAGTTGTAAACAAACTGAAAACCGCTAGCTTACTAGCAAGCAAGATAAATATACAAAGGTAACTGGTAAGGTTCAAAACACTGAACAAACGCATTGTTTTAGAGTACAACAGTGTCACGGCGGGGAAAAAAAAAAAAAAAAAAGGTTTGAAACCGTAATGGAGGAAAACTTGGACGACCACACCGTTTGATAAAACGGGAGAGCTTCTGAAAAGCTAGGGAAGCCGGGCTTTCTCCTAAAGTCAGGAAGGCTCGGAAATGCTCACAGCTGTAAAAGATGACCGCTACTGGATCCGTCCGCACTGCGCCTTCAATACCTTTATAGCCGTGTGAGACCCACAATCACCGTTACGGATTTAACTTTTGGCAAAGACCGGGAAGCAGTGCAAGAAGTACCCCAACGTCCCGACGCTGGCGCCGTGCCCCTCGAGTCGGGGTCCAACCGCGCCCAGGCTCCGCAGAGGATCCTCTCCCGCCCAACGCGCCCAGCCGCCGCGGAAGCCCGGGCGGGCGAGGCCCGAGGGGGCGCGGGTCACAATCCCCGACCGGACAAAGCGACCAGCGGGCCGGGGAAGTCCCGCGGGGGCTGGGGAGCGCAGGACAGGGGCCCCGGCTTCGGCGGGACTCACCAAGTGCCGCGCCACCTCGGAGGATGCCATGGTCGCGGGCGGGGGTGAGGCGAAGCAGTTGTGTCAGCCCGGCCCCAAGCTGCTGGTATTGGCGACTGCGGCGGGAAAGCCGGAGGGCTGCACTAACGGGCGGGGCGCGGGGCACGGGGTGGGACCGCCTCGTAGACAGTGAAGAGACAAGGACCCGGCCGAATAGGCGGCCTCTGGAGGCGGGGGACGGGAAAAGGGGCCGCGGGGCGGGGTCAGGGCGGAGTCGGGGCGGACGCCCTATGGAACACGCTGAGCGTTTGGCGCGCGCGAAGCAAGCCCCTCACAGGGGCTGCCCTAGATGCGTCAGAGGACTGAGCGTCAGTGTGGGGGCGGGCAAAAGGAGAGCCGCGACTCCAGAAAGTGGGCGCGAGGAATGAAGGCGGGGACTGCAGAGCAGTGATTGCAGCTCAGCAAGGCCGGAAGTAGGCGGACCCTAGAGCGGGACCGCCTAGATGGGTGTGGCCGAGATCGCGGGGAGCGGAAGTGGGCGTGGCCTGGTGGCGTGGGCGCGGGATGGGGGTGCGGGGGGCGTGTCCGCTCGGGCGCGGCCCAGTAAGGCGGTGGCCGAGTCCTCTGGCCGCAGACGCGGAGGCGGGTGGCCAGCTGAGCCCTTCGGACTCCATCGCCGTCGGGAGCCGGCCTCTGGGAGCCCGCCGCAATGGGACCGGGCTGAGCGTCCCTCCCGCTGGCGGGGCAACAGCGCGGTCCAGGATGGAGAGGTCTGCGGCTCGGGGCCCGGACGCGGACCCGGGCCTCGAGGCGGTGCTGGGCCCTGAGGCAGTGCTGCGCTTCTTGGCGGAGCGCGGGGGCCGGGCCCGGCACGCCGAGCTGGTGCAGCACTTCAAGGACTCCTTAGGCGGCGAACCCGAGCAGCGCGCCCGCGCCCGCGCGCGCTTCAAGGAGCTGGTGAACGCAGTGGCCACGGTGCGCGTCGATCCCGCCGACGGCGCTAAGTACGTGCACCTCAAGAAGAGGTTCTGTGCGGGGCCGCCGGCGCCAGCCGGGGACCCGCCAAGAATCCAGGTGACCGCCGAGCCTGAGGCCTCCGACGGCCAGGCCTGGCCCGAGGTGCGCGATCCGCTCCCCGACGCAGCGGTCTCGGAGGCGCACCCCGGACGGGGCCTGGAGCCTGGCGAGGGGGAGCCCCCGGCCGCTGCGCACAGGCCACCCCTGAGCGCCGGGGCTCCCTGGAAGAACTCGCGGCGCGACGTGCAGCCCCTACCCCGGACGCCGGCCCCGGGGCCTGGCGAGGACCTGGAGCCCCCGCCCCATGGCTGCGAGGAGGCGGACAGGGCCAGCTCACTTGGGGGGGCCATCGCGCCGAGGCCGGCCCGCCAGAATTTCCGCGACCTGGTGATGGGCAGCTCCCCGCAGCTGAGGAGGAGCGTGGGTCCCGGGGGCAGCAGCCCGGGCAGCTCCTCCGGGGGAGGACGCAGCAGAGGTGGGGGCGACTCAGACAGCGCATCGGTGGCCTCGTCCGTGGAGGAGGAGAGCAGCGGCGGGGGCTCCGTGACGCTGGACCCCCTGGAGCACGCCTGGATGCTCTCTGCCTCCGATGGCAAGTGGGACAGCCTGGAGGGCTTGCTCACCTGCGATCCCAGCCTGCTGTTCAAACGGGACTTCATTACTGGCTTCACCTGCCTGCATTGGGCGGCCAAGCACGGAAGGCAGGAGCTTCTGGCCATGCTAGTCAACTTCGCCAACAAGCACCAGCTGCCGGTGAACATCAACGCCAGGACGAGCGGGGGTTACACCGCCTTGCACTTGGCAGCCATGCACGGGAACATAGAGGTGGTGAAGCTGCTGGTGGGGGCCTACGACGCCGATGTGGAAATCAGGGACTACAGTGGGAAAAAGGCCTCCCAGTACCTGAGTCAGAGCATCGCTGAAGAGATCAAGAACCTGGTGGGAGCTCTGGAGGAGGAAGACGGGGAAAGCGCCACAGGCAGCGGCGGTGGGCGCTGGAGGCTTTCAAAGGTGCTTCCCTCGCACCTCATCACCTACAAATTCTCACACCCCTTAGAAGATGGAGGAGACCATCATCACCACCACCATCACCACTCGGCTGAGGGGTGGGTCGGAGGCAAAGCCAAGGATCCAGGGCGCAAAGCCTCCGGCTGCTCTAGTGGACGTATAAAACCCAGACTCAACAAAATCCGCTTCAGAACCCAGATTGTCCACACCACACTCTCTTTCAGGGACCCAGAACAGCCACAGGAGGATGTCGAGGATGAGGAGGAAGTAGAGGAGGAACGATCTGTTAAAGGCCGCTCGTCCTCCTTCAAATTGAGACCAAAGTCCAATGTATTTGGGTAAAAATGGTTTCTTTTAGAAAATGCAAAGACTTGTCTTAGAAATTCAATAGTAGGTGTTGTAAGTAAATGAGACTAGAAAGACAAGGTAAATTATGCATTCTTACTTGAGGGATTGGAATGGATGGGGCAGAGTTCCCTTCAAGCTAGGCTTCTGGGGAAAGTGAATTTCTTTTTAAGAGATTCATTATACCTTGACCTGTGCCTCTTCTGTGCCCTCCACTTCTCTGTCCTGGAGTCCGTTTCTGGAGACTAGAAATGGACCTAAATTGGGGGAACAGAATGAATCAATGAGAGTTCCTTTACTTTAACCATTCCTGGTTGCCTGCAAAGTAAGGAATACAGAATGAATGAATGAGAGTTCCTTTACTTTAACCATTCCTGGATGCCTGCAAAGTAAGGAATTGTGCACTTTTATGTACCTGATTTTATAAGGGGTTACTCTTTCAAGAGCAACAGAAAAACGCAAATTGTAACGGAACCAGTAGTATTTTTAAGTGTGAAAACAACTTACTGCCCCGTTTTTTTTTTTACTAATTTGCATATTAAGGTACTACTGAAGGTTAGATCAGAGTTGAAATGTAAAAATACTAATTAGAGAATAATGTGAATAAAATGAGAATTCCCTTGGTATTCTATGTGTATTGTAAGTCACAGTTCAATTATTTTTTTAAAAGCAATTTCAGTTTTAATCGCTGAACTAAAGAAACAGGCAACATTCACTTCTGTGGTATGGTTTCCACCAAACTATCTCTAACACCACTATTAAGGTACACTAATAACAGCACAAAATTTTATTTAAGGAAGATAGCACTTAGCAACCTATGGTGCTTTTAAATAAAATATTGCCTCTTGTTGTGATTCTCACATTTGTGTTACTATTCTAAAAGTTTGAATTTGCTGGGGTTTTTATTTTGAGGATCATATAACCATTGTTCTATTTGGCATAACCCTATTTAATGGTACTTAGAGCTGAATCACCTACAGAAACTGTTTCTGATTTCAATAATTAGCACAAATTGCCCTAAGTATTAGTGAGCCCATGTTTCTGTGAAGTAATTATTAAACAACTTAATGATTCTCACATAAGATACACTTTATTTTAATACATTAGTAGTTACTGTGACTTGTAGCAATGTTGCATATATTTAAAATCCTGAACTTAATTTTCCAACCTTTTCTTGACAATTAGATACCTGTCTTGTAGGTACTGAAAATCTGGGTAGAAAATCTATCCGGTTAAAATGGCACTTTATAAAAGGGAATAGAGAAGAGATGGGACTATTTCTATATTTGAATGCTGCTGGGTATTAAATTCCTTTGTATATAAATGAAAAATACCATTCATTAAAGACTTATTTAAGTGTGGTTCTTAATTATATTTCATTCATTTATATTAGAGTAAATGGCTTCATAATTACTTTAAAATTTAACCTACAAGCATATTAAATCTGTTTAAGATTAGAAACCATTTTTGAGAGGGACTAATTTAAGCAAGTACTTCTCCTTTAGTCTTAGGGTCGTGTAATTGCAGAAGCCTAAGTACCTACATCCTACAGGATAAGGGAGTTCACAGCCTGCAGGATGAATGAACACATGTGTGAACTGCACAGAGCAATTCATAGAAATTTGTAACAAGGTTGTGACATCTCTGTCTAGATGGTCATTGAATTTGTATAAAGACGGATGAAAGGCTGGGTGTGGTGTCTCACGCCTGTAATCCCAGGACTTTCGGGGGCTGAGGCAGGTAGATCACTTGAGGCCAGGAGTTCAAGACCAGTCTGGCCAACATGGTGACAACCCATCTCTACTAAAAATACAAAAATTAGCCAGGTTTGATAGTGCACACCTGTAGTCTCAGCTACTCAGGAGGCTGAGGCATGAAAATCACTTAAACCCAGGAGGTGGAGGTTGCAGTGAGCCAAGATCATGCCACTGTACCCCACCCTGGGCAAAAGTGAGACTCTTGTCTCAAAAAAATAATAAAATACAAAATATATAAACTCCATTTGCGTGCCTTTTGTAGGATTTTGGATATGAACTGAGCTGTGTACATTTGAAAAGCACTTTTATGCATACACGTGGTTGAAAAACCAATCTAATTTTGTATAAATAGGCTCCTGGAAGGTGAAAAGCAGTCATCGTTCTAAATCTATACATACTGCCTGTATCTAGTGCAGAAAAACCTATGACGTTCCATTGAATCTTAAATTTCATAGACATGTAAAGCTAAAGTAACTCTAAAGAATAGATGCAGGCCGCGTGCGGTGGCTCACACCTGTAATCCTAGCACTTTGGGAGGCCGAGGTGGGCAGATCACCTGAGGTCAGGAGTTCAAGATCAGCCTGACCAACCAGCATGGAGAAACCTGGTCTCTACTAAAAATAAAAAATTAGACCGGTGGCGCATGCCTGTAATTCCAGCTATTCCAGAGCCTGAGGCAGGAGAATTGCTTGAAGTTGGGAGGCAGAGGTTGCAGTGAGCCAAGATCTTGCCATTGCGCTCCAGCCTGGGCACCAACAGCAAAAGTCCATCTCAAAACAACAACAAAATAATAGATGCTTCAGAACCATCAGAAGGTTCTGGTGAACAGTCAGTATTAATCTCTTAAATGTATATGTTGGTTACTAATTACATAAAATCTATAATTTGCTAGGTCTTTAGAGATTGAGTCAATATGTCATTTACCATGGTTTTCCCCCTAAAGGCTTTAACTTTTTTAGTAAAACTATTTTAAATTTTCAAAAACCCATTCCTGAGGGGAACTACTTCTAGCATTCCTGTCATGATGTGCATGTGTACAGTAAGTAGTATTTTTGGCTACTTAACTCTATATTCCTCTTATTTTTCAGTTTCCAGTCAAGATTATAAAAAGCAAATGATTGATATAATTTGATGTTCATAGAGTTGTGCTTACCTTTAATGGAAAAATATATGTCAGATACTTAGATGTTTATTGATATGAGACTATATGGTTAAAAAACCCAAGTATGTCCATATGTTTCTTATAAGGTACACTTGAAATTAGTGAGTGTCACATTTCTCTTTACTTTCATGATATGTAAAATGCAGCTCAATTATATAACATGAATATCTGGTACTAGTTTTTTCATGCCTGAAATCTTGGAATCTAGGTTGCCTTGTCTATTGTTTTTTTTAAATAAGTGATATTTGGGAGATTGTAAAACCTGTAAAGTTTGTTTTGTCAAAATAAAATGTTCACAGAATTTTTCTCTGAATTGTCTAAATTTCTGTCTGCCTTTAGGCTTTTTACATATATTGTGTTTTTCAGTTCACAGAATGCTTTTTGAAGTTCCAGTTTATTTGACTTTTTTCCTATCCCTTAAGATTATGGGACATATATTCCTGACTTACAGATAAGAAAATGAAGGTTAGTGGTTGCTCAGGTTGTCACATAGTAAACCGCTGTTAGTAACATCTTAAGAGTCAGTACTTTCTCACAATGTTATCTTTTCTGCATGTTGAATTGCCACATTTTTAGCAAAACTCCTGTAGTTTGGCATCAGTGATGGAGGAATCAACTTGGAGAGAAGGTAATACCTCTAACACTACCTAGAAAAATGCTGTATGGATTGTACACACACCATTTGCCATAAACCCTCCCTACCCAGGGCTGACTTCAACACAAGTGTAGGAATACCGTTTTTCATTTCTCAACCTCTGTTAAGCTTTGAGAGTTAATGAATTAATTTCCTCATCAAGGCTGCCTGTGATCTGTATTTTTAGCAAAATTCAACTTTTGAATGGCAAAGGGATGTGGTACTCCTTGGAGTAATTGCCCACTATTGCTGTCTTTGGGAGCTCCCCCTATGATGGCTGCTAGGGTTTTTGTTGTTTTCTGACAACCCATAAAATATTTTTCAGGGTAACTGAAAGACTAGATAAGTATTTTGTTTTTCTAGAATGACTTCTTTCCTTAGACGTACATGTCTTGGTTGGGCGTGGTGGCTCATGCCTGTAATCCCAGCATGTTGGGAGGCTGAGGTGGGCAGATCAAGAGGGCAGGAGTTCGAGACCAGCCTGACCAACATGGTGAAACCCCGTCTCTACTAAAAATACAAAATTAGCTGGGCATGGTGGCGCACGCCTGTAATCCCAGCTACTCAGGAGACTGAGGCAGGAGAATCACTTGAACCCAGGAGACGGAGGTTGCAGTAAGCCAAGATCGTGCCATCGCCCTCCAGCCGGAGCAACAAGAGCAAAACTGTCTCAAAAAAAAAAAAAAGCACATGTCTTAAAAGGATTTATTAAGCAGTTATAGATATTTTTTAAATTTTCCTAGTAAAAATTATTTTTATTTTGCTAAGTCAAATAGTATTTTGGAGGATTTTTTTTTTTTTTTTTTTGAGATGGAGTCTTGTTCTGTTACCAAGCAGGACTGCAGTGGCACGATCTCAGCTCACTGCAATCTCGTGCTCCTGGGTTCAAGCCATTCCCCTGTGTCAGCCTCCCAGCTAGCTGGGACTACAGGCGTGCACCACCACACCCCGCTAATTTTTGTATTTTTAGTAGAGATTGGGTTTCACCATGTTGGCCAAGATGGTCTCGATCTACTGACCTCATGATCTGCCCGCCTCGGCCTCCCAAAATGCTGGGATTACAGGCATGAGCCACTGCACCTGACCTGGAGTTTCTTACATGGTTAATTCCAGAATTAAATACTTGGAATTTGCTATAAACCAGTATTCCTTCCATGATTACTCTAGTCTTCATAAATCACTGAATATTAGAGGGCTGGAAGATGACTCTACAGGAACTTGTTTCTCAAGATACAGGAGTCGTGTGATTCACATAACTACCTGCTTTTCCCCTGAAGAACACTATACTTTTTTCTCAATCTTTAAATGTCAGTTTCATATCAGTAAGTAGCTTTCTCATTCTGTTAATTAATAGCCTATTTTTCCACATCGATGCATTGGTAAGGAATGTGTGAGAAGTGTTCCACCCTTACACAGTGCCTGGCATGTTGAAGGTACTCAGTAAGGGTCTTTTAATGGAATACAGTAAATATTTTTATAGTGTTACATAATATGGATAATTCAATAACATGCATTTATGCTATGTGAATAAAATTTTTTTTTCTGTTTTGTTTGGTTTTGTTTTCTGAGACAGAGTCTTGCTCTGTCACCCAGGTTGGAGTGCAGTTGTGGGATCTCGGCTCACTGCAACTTCTGCTTCTCAGGTTCAAGCAATTCTCTGCCTCAGCCTCCCGAATAGCTGGGATTACAGGCACCTGCCACCACACCCATCTAATTTTTGTACTTTTAGTAGAGATGGGGTTTCACCGTCTTGGCCCGGCAGGTCTTGAACTCCTGACCTGGTGATCCACTTGCCTCGGCCTTCCAAAATGCTGGGATTACAGGCATGAGCCACTCTACCTGGCCAATAAAGTTATTTTTTATATAACATGGCTCCTAAATGCCAGCCAACCAGTTCATCTGCAGCTCAGCCAAAAGAACAGCAAGTTATTCCAATCCTAAAGATAAAATCGGCTTTATTAAAATTTTACTTCATGAGAGATTTAAGAGATTTTCAAGAGTAAATTTGATTATAAGAAAGTTTCGACCAGGTGTGGTGGCTCACTCTTGTAATCCCAGCACTTTGGGAGGCTTAGGTGGGTGGATCACAAGGTCAGGAGATCTAGACCATCCTGGCTAACATGATGAAACCCCATCTCTACTAAAATACAGAAAATTAGCTGGGCATGGTGGTGTGCGCCTGCAGTCCCAGCTACTCAGGAGGCTGAGGCAGGGGAATCCCTTGAACCTGGGACATTGCAGTGAGCCGAGATCATGCCACTGCACCCCAGCCAGGCAACAGAGCAAGACTGTCTCGAAAACAACAGAAAGAAAGAAAGTTTCACCAGGCGTGGTGGCTCATGCCTATAATCCCAACACTTTGAGAGGCTGAGGTGGGAGGATCATCTGAGGTCAGGAACTCAAGACCAGCCTGGCCAACATGGTGAAACCCCGTCTTTATTAAAAATACAAAACTTAGCTGAGCATGGTGGCCCATGCCTGTAATTCTAGCTACTCGGGAGGCTGAGGCAGGAGAATCACTTGAACCTGGGAGACAGAGGTTAGAGTGCACCGAGATTGTGCCATTATACTCCAGCCTGGGTGCCAGAGTAAGACTCCGTCAAAAAAAAAGAAAAAGAAATTCATCTGGAAGAATCAACTGCTTTCACTATTCTGACCATTATTCTGGACCGTGACACAAGCTTTCAACCAAACTTGCCCATCTCAAAAACATGATTTCGCTCTCAGACTATTCCTTCAGGTTTCCATCTGCAGCCCATCGGTGAGTTGTCTGGGGAATGCTGCTTGAGGTC